GCCTGGGCAGCTTCAGCCGCGCAGCGACCCGCGGCCCCTGCGACAGTTAGTGAGTAAGACTCGTTGCACCGTGGACGGCCCTGGCTTGTGGGGTTTGCGGGGGGGAGGCACGTAAGTGGGTTTGTTTTTAAGAATTGGTGGTTACTAAAGGCTGAAAAACTTAAAAACCCAGTTACCGCAGAAACGTCAGACCCCGAACCCCGAGTGTCACCAGTCACCTGGAGCCGCCCCCCCCCCTCGGGCAGACGGCCATTCGCCGACCTCGTGGCCGGTTTCTGTGCCTGGCGGGTGCAGCAGGCACCTGAGGCTGCAACCCCTTCCACGGGGTATTCGGTCTCTGTCTGCTGCCACCTTAACAGTGACAGGAGCCTGGTTGACCCAGCGCCCTGATGCTCGCACATCCTTCGCCCTCCTAGGGTATCTGGGAGAAGAAGGCAAGTCTGGTTAACCCTCCCCCTCCCTTTTGGGGGATGAGACAACATACCTGACAGTGTCATTGCTTGGCCACGGTCAGTGAGCGAGCTGGCATGGCACACAGGTCCCATGGCTTCCCAGCCAGTGCGCTTGTCTGGTACATGGGAGACAGGGCTGGGCCCCCCCCCCCCCCCACTGCTCTCTGTCTCTGATTCTGACCCCTCTGGGGCCGCATGGACGTGAGATCACAGTGCTTATCTGTGGCCACTTCACTTACTGAGCCGCATGTCCTCCAGGTCCATCCACGTTGTAGCATCTGTCGGGATCTCCTTCCTTTTTAAGGCTGAGCAGCATCCTGCTCTGTGGATGGACACGTTTGCTTACCACTCACCTGCAGACGGACACTCGGGTTGCCTCCGCCCTTAGCTGCTGTGGATAATGCTGCTGTGAGCAGGGGTGTGGCTTCATTCATAACCACCCCAAACTGAGAACAACCCCCATTTCACAGCTGGTGAAGGGGGGAGCACGTAGGTCCATCCACACCAGCAGGTAACTGCACAGAGGAAACACTGGTACTCACGGAACACTGGTGGACCTCAGGTGCGTCCTGTGAGTGAAGGAAACCAGGCTTGGGAGGTGTCCTGGGGACAAGCCCACCTGTGGGACAATATGGAAACGGCACAATGACAGGAGCAGCCTTAGTGAGCCTGCTGGTGTGGCCCAGTGGTTGAGCGTCAACCTATGAACCAGGTCACGGTTCACAGGCCTGGGTTGCGGGCTCAGTCCCCAGTGGGGGACGTGCAGGAGGCAGCTGGTTAATGATTCTCTCTCATCATTGGTGTTCCTATCTCTCTCCCTCTCCCTTCCTCTCTGAAGTCAATAAGAATAATTTTTAACAAACATGAAACTTAGTGGTGGCCGGGGTTTGCGGTGGAGGAGGGCTTGGCCACAGAGGGACTGTTCGGGGACAGGCTGTGGCTGTGGTTGTGGTTGCCGAGAGACGTCCCTCGGTTCCTTTTGTGTCTGGCGGATCCTGCACTTGTCAGGAACGCTTAGGACCCACAGCGGTGAGTAGAGTGAGAAGGAGAGAGACAGCTGCGGCCCCACGCCGGCCCGCCCTGCCCAGGTCGCGGCGGCAGCCCTGCAGGGCCTGTGGTCCCACTCGTGTTTTGTGTTCTCGCTGTGTGAGTCGTGTGGGCGGTGGGTGGTGGTTTTGTGTGAACTTTCACATCAGTGGCCCAACACTGTATTGTTGGGCAGTTTGACGCGTTCCTCTCGGCCTGTGTTTCTGATTTTATTCATGTGGCTCTGCTTCGTCCATTGTCCCTTCCTGTCTCCGCTCGGGCCACAGACAGGAACTTACCTGGGCGTCTGCGACCAGGTGGCGGTCAAGGCGTTTTCGGGGAGGGCCGCTCCCTGGCCGCAGCCTGTCACCGTCCTCACAGCGGAGAGCGGGCGCTGGTCTCTGCTCACCAGGGCCCCGAGCCCATCACAGCCCCACCTCGTGGCCTCATCTAACCCCACTCCCTCCACCTCCCCGCCCGTCGGGCCAGGGCTTCCTTCCACACGTGACTCTTCAGGGACACACACAGTTAGTCCATAGCACTTTCCCTTTTTCTTTTTTAATCTCACCCGAGCGTATTTTTTCCGTTGCTTTTTAGAGAGAGTGGGAGGAAAGGAAGTGAGAGGGGGAGAAAGAGAGAGAAACATTGATGTGAGAGAGACACATCATTGACTGGTTGCTAGGGATCAAACCTGCAACCCAGGTACGTGCCCTTGACCGGGAATCAAACCTGCGACCCTTTGCTGCGCAGGCCGATGTGCTGGCCACTGCGCCACACCGGCCGGGCAGTCCACAGCCCTTTCTAAGTCCATTTGGGGTTTAATAATTTGCTCCCTTTAGAGGTTTGGGGCGCTCACTGCTGAGCCAAGCGTGGGTGTGGATCCTGCGTGCTGCTTCCCTGGCACCCGAGGGACCCTGCCAGGCTCCCTCCGCAGGCTCAGGCCTGTGCCTCTTCCCAGGCCCACCATGTCCGGGTCTCGGGCCCCAGAGCCGGCCCTCAGCGTGCAGGGAGACTCCACCACCAGCACAGGGGACGAGGACGAGGACGCTGCCCACGGGACCCAGCACTCCCATCGCATGCTCAGCTTCAGCGACGCACTGCTGTCCATAATTGCCACCGTCATGGTCTGTGGGGGTCGCACCCAGCTCAGAGCCTGCCCCCACCCAGAGCCACTCCCACGGGACCCAGCCTCACCCTCCCGGGCAGCCTTTGGGTGGAGCCTGGCCCATCTCAGCAGCATCCTGGGCTCCCAGCCCCTCAGACAGCTGTGGGGGGGGGGGGCAGCTCAGCAGGGGCCCAAATCCCCAATACCAGCAGCACCCGGCCAGGGAGAGAGACAGAGAGACATCCCTCGGTTCCTTTGGTGTGTGTTGGTAGATCCTGCCTGTGACCCACACGGAGATCTCCCCTGAGCAGGTACTTGGGCACCGTCTGCAGCCTCTGGTGTGCGGGAGGGTCCACTCCAGTACCTGGCTGGGGGGGGGGACGCGGAGGGCCTGGGACAGGCAGGGGGGGACATGGGGAGCCTGGGACAGGCTGGGGGGGGACGCGGGGAGCCTAGGACAGGCTGGCGGGGGGGACGCGGGGAGCCTAGGACAGGCTGGCGGGGGGGACGCGGGGAGCCTAGGACAGGCTGGCGGGGGGGACGCGGGGAGCCTAGGACAGGCTGGCGGGGGGGACGCGGGGAGCCTAGGACAGGCTAGGAGGGAGGGCGTCGGGTCCCTTCAGTGGGTGCTTGGAGCGAGGGCCTGGTGGCTGATGGCCTGAGAGACAGGTTAACGTCACAGAGTGAGTGGAAAGGGTGTTCTTCCTAAGGCAGAGGCCCCCCGAGCAGCCGGCAGATCCCCCCGAGCAGCTGGCAGGGTCCCCCCGAGCAGCTGGCAGGGTCCCCCTGAGCAGCT